ATATTTTTAAAGTGAAAATGTGAATGGTTTAAAAAACTCATCTGGGCTGTATGGAACATATTATGCTGTACATATAATGTCTGCACATATGATTTTAAATGGTATTCGTCTTGCCTAAAAATAGAAGGCGAATAGGTCTCTTTCAGAAAAAAATGGAAGCTATGTTAGTCCAAAGTTTGGCTTGAATATTTTCCTCATGCCCCTTCATCCCCTTTAAGCAATTGTGCAGTTTTGCAAAAGAAATGCTTTGGGTCACTGTCATCGTGGTAACTAGCAGGGACTAGCAGGCATTTATAGTATGACTTAGGATGTTATTTCATAGCTGTGACTGATTTGGTTGTTTGTGTTTTTTTTCTAGAACTCCATTAATGCTTGCAGTGGCTTATGGGCACGTTGATGCTGTTTCTTTATTACTTGAAAAAGAAGCATCTGTAGATGCAGCTGATCTCCTGGGATGCACAGCTTTACATCGAGGGGTGACTTAATTTTTATGATTCTTGATGATTTGTTTTACTGTGACTACAACTCACTTATAAGTATAGGGACATTTAAATATGGAGAACATTGTAAATGATTGGAAATGTGACCAAGCATAATAAATGATGTAAAAAGCTGAACAGATATTATGCTCTCAGAAGGGCTCTGCTTTTGACTTTATTTCACATTTGCTTTAATTAATTAGCTGAAAATAGCTGAAATAGTGATTAGACTACTTTTTCTTGGCTCTAGACACTTTATAATACCAATCATTACTCTTATAACTGAGTACCTTAAGAATTCTGAAAATAATTTCTTTAAAAGAACTGGCCAACTGTTACTTTCATTTTTCTTAGAATGGTGGTAAATAGGTAAGCCTTAAGTTTTCTAGAGGCAGTGGAACTTGAAGCAGATCTAATCTTTTCTAGTCTAGCTAGCCTAAGCTAGATTTCCCTAGCTAAGTCTAGCTTCTTACCTAATGTGAACCTGATGCAAGAAATTATATTTATGCAGAATTTTATGATGATTGCAGTGAGCAGTTCAGCAAGTGAGCTTTCATCTCTGCCTGCTGAATCCCACCCAGACCATTTCATGTTCACAGGCATCAATCATAGCTCCTATTTCCTGGGCAAGAATCTGTATTATGTCAACCTCTTTACTCACTTCTTTGTTATCAGATTATGACTGGGCACGAAGAATGTGTTCAGATGCTGTTAGAGAAAGAAGTCTCGATTCTGTGTAAAGATGCCAGAGGCAGAACACCCCTGCACTTTGCAGCAGCTCGGGGTCACGCCACCTGGCTGAACGAGTTACTGCAGATCGCCCTGGCTGAGGAAGACTGCAGTCTGAAAGATAATCAAGGTTACACACCGCTGCACTGGGCTTGTTACAATGGTAAGCTTCTCCCTGGGGACTGCTGCCGAGTTCAAATGCAGCCTCAGTTTTAGGGAAGCATGTTAACAGAGTAGCTTAATCCTTTGATGAGCTTGACTTGAAAAGGCAAATTATCTCCCAGAGCTCCACGTGCTCTCTGTAGGTAGCATTTGCTTTGTGCACCCTTCAGTTCAGAAGCCAGGGAAATTCCAGTGATACCTCCCAATGGCTTTGCAACTCATTTGCTCCAAGTCACAAGAAGCCAGGGTGAAATTCTGGTGTTGCTCGTGTCAATGATGAAAGTGATTCCTGTGTGACCAGGAATGCTCCTTTGAGGCGTCACCTGCTTATTTATTGATGCAAGTGGCCATGTGAAGAGATGGATATTTTGAACTGAACTGATTATTCTAACTGGATAATCTGAATTTTTTGCTTAATAAAAGGCAAAAGCGTCTCAATATCATCATTTAAGATCATCTTTGGAGGCGTAAGAAAACATACATAATATCACACTAAAAGGAGACTCTTTCCTCTTTTTTCCCAAAGTGCTAATATTAGCCTGAATTTATCTTGCTGCTGCCATAAAACAAAAAAATCCTGTTTTTATTACATAACAGCTTATTGTGTTCAACTTTGAACTTAAAGTGTTAAATGCTAACCTGTGTAAGCCTAACATGAATTAAGTGAATTACCTGCTTTGTACAACACTGTGAAATATCTGATCTCTTACAGGTCATGAAAACTGCATAGAGGTACTATTGGAACAAAAACTTTTCCACAAATTCTATGGTAATAGCTTCTCTCCATTGCACTGTGCTGTGTAAGTAGAAATCTCCAGTAACAAATGCAGATGTTGCTTTAGGATATGCCTGCAAAAAGTAGCAGTGTGAGAAGAAAGTGAGCTTTTCTTGAGATTATTTGCATGAGCTTTACAGGCAGATTCCGTATTCACATCTCTTGTGTTACTTGCAAACAACAAAAACAGGCTGTTGTGTGTTATGCATGTACTTTAGACACATCCTATTCAAAGAAAGCAGTGTGTTTTTACGCAGAGAGGATGCTAATAGAGCAAAACATAATTGCAAATGCATTTTACAAAAAAAAAAAAAGCAAGATTAGTATGTAGGATGTAACATGCAAACCATTAAAACATGTAAACCATCAAACACCAAGGAATTAAGTGCTCTAAAGACAAATGCAAGCCTTCCCAAATCCTGCCAATAATTAGAACAACTGCATTCTATTCTCTGTTCTCTTGGGAGAATGAATGTCTTTCAGAAGTAACGACAGGAGTTACAACTGTGTAGGCTTTCCTTCTACAGTCCCCACATCATTAGAAAGTAGACAAGTAACTTGTCATGTATCAAACTTTGAAATGATAAAAAGCCAATGTATTAGAGTAACAAAAGCATTTTGGAAGCACTGTTTTTACTCCACTTAAAATATTTTGTGACTGAAACATAGTATTTTAAATCAGAATTTCTAGTGATGGTTTTGAAAAAAAATCAATATTTATTTTAAATGAGTATGCAGTTCTCAAAACTATTAACACATGTGAAACTTAAAAATGTATGTAAATTTGAAATGAACACAGCTGCTAGTGCAATGTGGAAGTGTGTTAGCTATAATGTGTGTCCAGTACTAATACTAAATATTGTTCATTTTCATAGTGAAATGAGACAAATTAGCAATAATCAGAAAAAGTATTAATTGAATGCATCCACCAAATCAAAGTATTAAAAGCGTGAGTTGGAAGAGATGTGGGCTTCAGTACCTTAAACATTAGAATAAATCTTTCTATGTCTAAGTACCTGTGAGTGCTTTCCAGATCCAGGTGTGCTGGACATACAGGACATACAATAAGGATTTTAAGATATTAAGGTTTTAGTCCTTGGTTTGTGCTGGACTTTGAAATAGCCTTTATGCATAGTGAATTAAGGATTAGCTTTGCTTTAGAGATTGAAATCCATAGTAGCAGATGCAGTTTGGTTAAATGGAAAGATGATGAATATGCAAAAATGTGACTGAAAACATTAAGACAAAGGCATTTTAGGGTAACTTGGAAATAACCAGTAAAAAATACTAATGAGAAGTGAAGTAAATTAATATCGCAAAGTGGAAAAATACGTAGATTTATTACCTCTTTAAACATATATTTTCTTCGGCAGAATCAATGATCATGAAAGCTGTGCATCACTACTCATTGGAGCCATCGACGCCAGCATTGTCAATTGTGAAGATGACAAAGGAAGGTAATAGTTTCTTTAGCAAATTGCATTTTGTGAATCCACCCGGTGTTTTTTGTAGTTCTTTCTGAACCCCTGGAACTAATCCCTATCTGTTATGGTTGAGCTAAGACTTGTCATGCTGACTCTTTCAGACAGCAGCTTGCACTGCAGCACAGTTAAATGGTGGCTCACTTGAAGCAAGAATGTGATGAAGTATTCAATGTCATAGTACACATGAAAAGAAACAAAAGAAATAGCACTTTGTTTGTTTAGAACAGCTATGACTACAGGCTGTTTCCCTGTTTTCTTTGTTAAATGTTTAAACACATTTCTCTTTGCTAAATGAAGTGATACTATTTACATATAGAAAAGTATTTCATTAAAAGTTTTCATGTTATGTTTGCATTCTCAGGGCATACAGCTGAAAACATCTAAGCAGCAAAATAATACTGACTCAGCAAGAGATACGCATTCAGCCAAATCCTTCATTTGTCACATTGATTATGTCCTCATTGCATATATATATTTAATTAAAATGGCTGAAATTCTAAAAACTGAATACTCATTCTTTTTGTTGATTAAAACAAACTTAATACCCTCAGTGATGGTGATTACTTAATCATGTAAGGGTAAAACCACCTCACCTTTACTGATGAGCAAAACTGAAGTAACACTAAGCTGGGTTGTGTACCAACTGTTTCAATTCTAGGAGTCACACGTCAGACCCAAAATGCCAAAGGGTGACAGCAAACAAATTCTGATGTCTCAGTCTTGTAGAAACTGATAGCCCTCAAAGTGCATTGTATTCCTTCTGCCTTTTAGAGTAATGCTGTTACTGTGGCTTGCTCCTGCTGTATCTGTGAATAGAACTTAAAATGTTTTAGTTTTTTTTAAGTAATGGACCAGTTCCTTTCTGATAGTTCTTCCCATCTGAAGCTTATTAAAAAAAATAATCACAGGAATAAAAATGAGGGATTGTACTGCTTTTCATGTTAGAATGTTCTGTTAAAATAAATATGCTGCTAATATGAGATTCTTCACAGTGTCATATGTCTACACTGTTATATCCACCTTCCTGCTTCCCAGGACAAAGACCGTAAATATTACTTAACTTACTTAAGATGCTGCTACTATAACTTTCTGCTTGTGATAATGTTAAGTTTCACAGGAAAAAAATAAAATTGCGCTTTGTGGTTTTTGGGAAAGCGGGCACAGGTGACTGTTGTGATTGTTTAGCAAACGCTGTGGCCGTGTTCCTTTCCCCCAGGACGCCCCTTCACGCCGCAGCCTTCGCCGATCACGTGGAGTGCCTCCAGCTCCTCCTGAGCCACAGCGCACAAGTGAACGCTGCGGATCACGCAGGGAAAACGCCGCTCATGATGGCAGCTCAGAACGGCCACGTAGGGGCTGTGGGTAAGGACATGGCTGCCTCTCTTCGTCCTGAAGGGAGAGTGCTACTGCAGTTACTGTCCCAAATGAGTCATCCTTTTTATCCTGTGAAAACTAAGAAAGGAAAACAAATTAATATGCTTCTGTAAGAAGCTACCTTTAAACCTGTAAAACAGTACTTTTCCTTCTCAGCAGTCTTGGTGAACATTGGCAATAACAAATTTGAGTCTTATTTCCTCCTACGAGCACACTGTTAAGAGCATGAGGGGAGTAGTAATTCTATTCTCCTATTTACTTCCTTGATTTTATAGAGCAGTAAAGCTGCATGTGTGAAAAGGATTGTGTAACCTTTTTCTGTCCCCTATTATAGCAACTCTTGTTCTTGAAATGGCAGCTATCAGCAGCTGCTTTTCCTGGCTAGACTATATGCTAGAGGCATACAGATTTGGGACCTATTGTCTTTGGAGAATTCCCTTTTCTCTGGCTTCAACAGTACAGGCTGCACCCCAAATTCTTTGTATCTGCTTATTACTCTCAGAGCAGGATTCACAGTTGTTCTCAGGACAAGGTGATTCAGGCAAAACTTGCTGATCTGCAAATAGGGAAGTTCCTAAATAAATAACTGAAAATTAAAATATGTTTGACAGTTTTGGGCACAGTGAGCTGTTAGCTCTGCCTTTGCTTGCTGAGTTACTGCACAAGATTAGTCTGTTCTCATTCACTGATTTCACTCCATGTTATAAAGCTTAATTGATTAGCACGTATGCACACATATATAAAAATAGTAATGTATTTCCTCTGTTTTGACATGTTCATCTGCCCACTGGGTTTGTTCCTTGATTTCTACTCCACACCTCAGACTTTTTGGTGAATATTGCCAAGGCTGACCTGACATTAAAAGATAAGGAGTCAAATACATCTTTGCACTTGGCTAGCAGTAAAGTAAGTTGAAGACCTCTCTATGCTTTTTGCTCATCACAATCTGTGTGAATGTAAATGTGTGTTTATGCTTCCAAGTTTTTTTTCTGCAATGGAAATGTGGTGGTCAAACTTGTCATGAGAAAGGGAATTTGTTCCAAGGTTTTTCTCAATCCTGTTTCAAAGTTTGGTACATGGAGAAATAGGGATACCTCTTAGGACAACTGAAACAAAAGCAAGTGACACTAAGAGACGTAAAGGAAAGCCTGTAAGATTTTACCAGATCATCTCAATGTAAAATAGCTTGACAGGTTCAGTAGCAAAATAAAAATAAAAGTATTTTTTCTTATACTCACATTTCTGTGGAAGGAACCCGAAATTTTCCCTTGACAGAGTAGCAGTAAAACCAGAGGCATTGATTAGATTGGTGGTGGTGTCTTCCTACTTCCTCTTCCTCTTAATTCTGATAGCTGCTGCTGTTTCTGCGAGAAAAAATGCCCAAAGGATTCCCTTTTCTTTTGCTCCTACCCCCAGATTGGATTCCAGTTTGATTGTATTATTTCAGTTTCTGGAGACACACGAGCCTTGCTGAATTCTCAAGGTCCTTCAGGCAGCTGTTCCACCTGCCAGGACTGTAGGCTCAGCATCCGCAACTTGCTGTGCTGCAACAAGATCAGAAATAAGGCCTTGGATCAGTGTTATTGCCAAAGATTCATTGTTAGAGCTCTATCACACTGACAGGGTTTTGTAGTAGCTTATTAATAATACAAAAAGGCATTTAAAGACCCAGAAAGTGTATTACTGCTTTCTGAGATGAAACCGTTCTATGTCACCAGATAGTTCTGATAAATTATCCACTGAATGCTCTCTCAAGAGAAACAGCAGTGTTCTCTGAGAGCTGAGGAAATGAATTCATATTTAATGAATGGAGCGTTGAAAGACAGGTGAATGTGTAAATTTCTCAATGTGCTAAAACACCCCAGCAGTGGCGGTTCAAAAATAGTATTTTAAGGCTCCTATAGTTCACCTTCTACACAATCTTACTGAGCAGCTTGTTTTGTATTTCAAATTGAGTTATTAAATTTCACTTTTATTATGTAACATTTTATTATGTAACGTTTCTTTTGCCTCAATTTCAAACTCCATAGCAAATTCACACTATTGGTTTTTTTTCCCCGACTACAGGGTCATGAAAAATGTGCCTTGTTAATACTTGACAAGATACAAGAACAGAGCCTTATTAATGCAAAAAATAATGCATTGCAGACGTAAGTATAGCCTGATCCTCTCGAGTTCAGTTGATTTACCAGAAGATTCCAATTTAGCATTTCAAATTCACGTCTCAGATTTTTTCATAGAACAGTAAAGTTAATTTCTGATTTTTTTGAATTCTTTCCCTTAAAAAAGATCAGAATTGTATTGCATTTTCTCTTTCAATTTTGATTCCATTGATGCCAATTCTATACATGATCCGGTGGAAAAATTACATAGAGTCATTTATTTGACAACTATATCAAAATGTCTATTAATCATGTGAATGTGTAAATACACATCGGGCATTTTCTAGCTTTTTGAGCTTCACCTTAAATTGAAATAATTTATTTAGACTTATTTAGACTTAAGGTGGTACATTTAATTTGCAGAGGGTTTTTTGGGTGATACTGTATGTGTAACTCCTGTCCATAGCACACATTATCAGCTGCAGTTGTTTGATCTGCATGGGGCAATCTCACCATAGGAGATTCAACTGTCAGTTCAGGTAGCAGATGATCTACTGCGTGCAGAAGAATTCATTCCATCTTAGCCCGTTTTCCCCCTCTTCCAATATGAAAACGTTTTTCCTGTTCCACTAATGGCAAACAGGAGCACTGGGTGTTGGGCCAGGAAAGGAGAAAATCAGTGGTTATTTTTAATTTCTGCCCTGCAATAACAGAGTTTAGCAATTGAATATTTGAGGATAAAAAGGCAATGTAATGATTCTGAACAGTCTGTAGTAGCCAGAATTAAGAATGGAACACAGGCATTTCTTCAGCCTTAGATTCATTTTCCTTTTAAATGTCAATTTTGTGTTGTGAACAGTGCAAAAATATGAACTTTTAAAAGAAAGGCTTTAGACTTTGGCCATCTTTCTGTGCTTGCACGTATGTTTTATAGATATTGTTTATTGTTCAGAAAATGTGTTTTAAACTGATCTTGAATTTAGTTGTTATGTTTTTGTAGACCTCTCCATATTGCTGCGCGAAATGGCTTAAAGATGGTGGTTGAAGAATTGCTGGGCAAAGGGGCGTGTGTCCTAGCAGTAGATGAAAATGGTAAGTAAATAATGCACTTTGACAGTCTTCAGTAGGACCCAGCAGGTAATTTTACAACAGACCGAAGCAATAGACTTAAAAGCTGATGATAGACTTCACTGATGCTTTTATCCTTCCAAGAACAGACAGTGAGTTGTGTGAGTACCTATTTAAAAACATAAAAAAAAAAGATACTATTTATTTTTCTTTAATATAAAAACGTATTCTAAACATCACAGTGGTCCCTTTTACTGTTCATTTTGCATGTACTGTCAACAGCTAGTCTTTTTTAATGCTTGAGTGCAGTGGTAACTTGAATTTCCTAAACATGCAAGTGGCACCGGATAATTCTGACACCTTGCAGAAGAATTAAGGATTATGCATTCAATCAGCGCATGTTTTAATGGGTAGGAAGAAAACCATCAACATATGTTTGAGTGTGTCCCAGTTCATTCTGAGATCAAACCTTGTGCTTGCCATTTATCTGACCTAATCCAAGATGCAATTAAATTACTGTCGCTCATAAAATACAGGATTAGTTAATAAATTCAATAATTTTGTTTCAGACTTCAATGAAGCCCTTCCCTAAACATTATAAAGCCTGTAGAGGGATGTGAGTCTAAAACTGTAGTTTTAAAAAATACCTTCCTGAAATAAGTTGGTCTTTCTTACAATACTAACTTCATGGCATTAATGTAACAACTTGGTACCTCCATCTTTCCATATCTCTAAAGTAACAATAACAATACTCACTATCATTGCAAGACATTTGAGATCTATGGATGAAAAGAACTGAGTGGTGAGTATTTACTATCAACTAAATGCCACCTAGCTATACTTGCATGAAAGAGTTGCACTGAAGTCATCTGACCCTAACCTCATTGCAGAGATAGGGAACAGAAAAAGCAAGCAGGCTAGGTTCCAGTAACAGTTTTTATCCTTAAAAGTGTACATGCAGATCCAGCTAATTCGTATGTATGTAACAGATGAAAATTAAGTTAAAATTTTATACACATTTAGTTTTTCTAATTGTAGTTGTTTCTAGGAACAAGTTTAAAACAGAGACATTTATTACAATCTTAGTGTAAGTACAACTCTAAAGAATATTAATGCTTGGAATTCAGTGGAAGTGCATTGACTGCAGTCAGTGCTTAAATGTGCACAAAACTATACTCGTGTTTTCCCACCAAATTCACAAATGCTGCAGGTGCTCTTGGATTACATGAAGCAGCAGGTACCAGTAAGCATCTCTGCCTCAGATTACTAGTGCTGCAGCACTTAATATTTAGCCAGCTGCAAAATAATTTGTCAGCTCTGAACATAAAGGAGGATTTGATGGAAAGTGCTGAAGTACTGCACAGTGGCCTGTAAAATGTACAGACAGCAAGTGTAACGAGCACAGTAGCTTCCAAGGTTTGGGTACGTGAAGAACTGCTTTAGGTGCAGCACTTGGACAGGAGCAAAGTTAAACTGCAGTGAAGACAAGCTTCTAATATCTCCCCAGTCCTTCACTTTACTGACACTGAAATAACATTAGCTTTGTATTTAAAGTGTCATGTATTTTAAATGCCATGCTTGCTGAATATAGCCATTATTCTTCTAACACAATGTAAATTCGGTAACTAAACATCCATGTAGTCATACCTCCTATCCATGTAACCTCTGCACTGGCCTAATTCTTTTATAATTTAATTCCTAAATAAACTACTCTCCAAGTTCAGTAGATACTCAGCTGATCAGTCTTTAAAATCATTTGCTTATTAAATCAAAGTATTTTTAAACCAATGTCTTTTATGTTCTAATGGAAGTCGTTGTTCTCAGAATGAGACTCATTCATACGCACAGAAACTGAAGCCAGTTTCTGTCTCTGTTGCTGTACTCCCCGTGTTCTGTACTCATCATACTGTCCATGCTGTAGAATTGTGTTTAGCAAGTGCTTTTATTCAAATTGTGAAGTCTGTTTGCTGCCTGGTTTTAAAAAAAATAGTGCTTGTTGTGGTCACGGTGATTTAAATGCCCCGCAGAGTGTGTATGTTCCCAGCATGTCTAATGTGAAATGAGTAACACCCCTGTTGCCTGGCATGACTGTAACCGGCCATACATCTCCCGCTCCCGTGTCCCTAGAGATGTATCTGAGGAATGCTCGGTGCCACCCCCGGTACCTCAGTACTAACCGTTGCCTTGTCTGCGTTTGTGCCCAGGTCATACACCAGCCCTGGCTTGTGCTCCTAACAAAGACGTGGCTGACTGCCTGGCACTCATTTTGGCTACCATGATGCCTTTTTCTCCTTCCAGTTCAGTGACGGCTTTCAACTTCGTTTGTTTTAAAAAAGACAATTTGGGCAGGACGCATCTCTGCGATGGCTCCAGTATGGGTAGCATTAACTCTTACAATAAGCCCTTGAGTAATAACATAGGAACAGAGGATGGGTACAATGAAAATGATTCGGATTCTGAAACATTTTGACTCATTGGTATTCAGAAACTTCGTTATTATTTCATTTCAGCTTTATTTTTGTCTTTTTAAAAAACTTAAATCCCACAGCTGTATTCTTAACTATTATTCTTGACAACTAGGTATTGAAAGATTTGTAGTGTTGATGAGAATCAAGCCTTTAAATAACAAAATCAGAGGGATTTACTGGAACATATTCCCGTTAGTGTTCTGCAGCTTTTCAGTTTCCTGATATTTTCTTTAGGCCCAAAGTGCCCCTGTGGAAAGTCTCTACCTCTTATTTTAAGTAGAAGAAGAGAAAATGCCTTTTTTTCTTTTTGACAGCACAAATAAACAGGGAACTGTTTGTGAAGAGTTCTTTCATGTTTTAGCTGTTCTACCTTTAGTACACAAACATATTTCCAGCGCAGCCTTCAAAGATTAGAGCATCACCCCCTTCCTACGTTTGTCTGTTTCCTCCTTCCAGGGGCTCTGTTAATTAGATAATTTTTTTATACAAACCAAAGGTAAACTTGTAATCTTAAAACTGCCTGTATTACTTTTCTACAGGAAATGAAACCTTTTACATTCTGCCTGTATTAAGCACTTAAACATACAGAAGGCACTTTTTACAGTTCTTAGTTGCAGCACACAATTAAAAAAAATGTAGTTGTTAACTCTTAAGGCCAAATTCTACTCATATCACCATATTTTCCCAAGGACACCACTTGTGTAATATGAAAATCACTTGGCCCTTATTTTTTTTCAATGCAGCACAAATGTGTATGGTTTATTTGCACTACAGAATTAGGGTCATTATTCGACGTTTTTGTCACCTGAGCCATTAATCATCATTCCAGTATCAGAAAAAAAAGGGGAGAGGGGGAGAAATCAGGTGTAGACAAAAGTGTATGTAAAAGTTTATAATGACTTGCCA